TCTCTCTCTCTCTCTCTCTCTCTCTCTCTCTCTCTCTCTCTCTCTCTGCTTCAGTCGCTCCTCTCCTTCGCTCTCTTGTCCTCTCCTCCTCACCCGGTCCCAACAGCTATGGTTGCCGGTGAGTGGGAAAGACTGCTCTGCATTTTTATTGTCCTGCAAAGAGAGAGCAATGGTAAGGTGACAATTATTCTCAAAATTGTATCAAAATGTATTGATGAGGATGGTAAAATGGCAAATGGACTTGTGTAGCGTGTTTCTAGTCTTCTGACCACTCAAAGCGCTTTAACACTACCTGTCATCATTCACACCTATACACTGATGGCAGGGGCTACCATGCGAGGTGGACAATAAGTAACATTCATACAACACAAGAACAGCCTGCGGGAGCAATTTGGGGTTAAGTGTCTTTCCAAAGGACACATCGACACCAACTAGCGGAGCCGGGGATCGAACCAGCGATCCTCTGATTGAAGAATGACCCTACTCTACCACTGAGCCACAGCTCGAAGGCAACTGGAAAGGCCGGAACCTGAGCGAGTTGCCAATGAATCCTCTCAATTCAACAGGCTTGATTGTCATTTGCAAAGTCCACTTCAGAAGCAAGTGTTCCTCTGAGCTCACTAGGGGGAGCTGAACGACAAGTCTGACCGACATGACAGCAAAAAAAAAAAATGTTGATGACTCTCACACACAGCATAATGCCTTTATTAGTATGTGAATGAAATCACACCGCCTCATCCCTCATCATGTGTGGTTACTATGTAAACTGGATAAGGCTCCTGTAATCCTTGGAGAACCCCCCGCAGAACTGCTCCTACTGACCCTCGGTTGTTTATTAAAAATGAACCACATTAACCTGTGTTCCAGAGAGACCGCTGAACTCTCCCCCCCCCGTCATCCCTGCATTCCCTTATTTACCCTCGGTGACCTATGTGACCCCTTGCTTGCGAGCACACCAGCTGAGTCCAAGGTTGAGCAGACACACAAACGCTGCTCGCAATGTTAGCCCGTTACGTGAGCCCGGGTAAGTACCGTCAACACACGTGGGCATATGTGACAGAACACACACACAGACACACACACACACACACACACACGCCTTCCGAATGTAATGGCACTCTTTCTGTGTGAGAGGTCAATGAGTTAAGAAAGATGCAGCAAATACGTTGGAATCTGCTTTGAGTGCTTTTGCAGGTGTTTCCGTGTGTGCACGGAAGCGTGCATCCACACGTACGTGACAGGGTCGTGTGCACGTTCACGTAATTGCTTCTACGGGTTAACAGCACTCCGCCGTGCACGTGTTTGTTCTCATAAACGTATGCCTGTTTACAGCGGTGGTTAAGAGGACCTGACATCTGTGGTGTTGTGCGGTGGTCATCACCCAGCGGGGAGGGTGCAGGGGGGTGACACCCATCCCATTGACCACCCTCAGGGAGCCCGGCTCCATTGTACAGCCTACCCACATCGCACATTCCTGGACTGAACCATGCCGCGTCTCCCTGCCCCTCTCCTCTGCACACAACAGCACATGCAACACACACACAGAGTTCTGGTCACGCCGAATGCAACATCATGTACCCCCCCTCCACCACCACCACCCACCTCCACCCGGCATGCTCAAACGCACTCACAAAGGCGCGCACACAGACGGGCAGATACAGTACAATGAGGTGAATCCACAACGTCAACTTATAGAAATAAACCTAATAGAGCTTGAACACAAAGGGCACACCATGACAGGCCATGTGGAGCGGTAACTTCACACATGGACGCCCAAATGACTGACCTATGCAACAGTGTTGTGATTGAATCATGTAACATTAACACCTCTGTCTTCAGTCTCCCATCATATCCCACCGCGTGTTATCAAACTACTCGTCGTTTAACTTGATCACTGATAACACGACGAGCAACGATGCTCTGCGTGACACACAAAGTAATACTGGGACAATCTCATCCATCATCTTTCACTTGAATTTTATTTTGGTGAAAAGGTTTCATTGCAGAATTACGGGCTTGGTTTGATAAGAAAAACTTACAAAACTTACAAAAAAGAGAGATGAGAATCACAGACCAATTTAGTCAAATGTTATTTGTTAAATAAAGAGGAAATATCCATGTTTTTGATTCACAATGTGACCCTTTTTAAAAATGATATGTTGTCACAGTAGGAAAAGCACAAGCGTTACTAATACCAGGACCCTGAAACTGAAGCAGCTAAATGGTATTCAGCCATCATTTATTTCATTATTTACACTTGTGTCTGTGACGAGTCAAAATGTCCTGCAGGGTTGACCCGGAAAGTTAGCATCGCCCTGGTTCCTTTGACAAAAAGCCAAACTTCCCTTTGGCAAACACACACATATATGACACTTTTTGTTCAGCAAGATAATCTTCGCAAATGGACACCACGTTTCTGATTTGTGATGCGTGAATGCAATCGGCAGAAGTAAAAAGCTAACGTCCACAGTCGCATGACTTCACGTCAGCAGCACCAAGCTAAAGGCGGACTGGTGCTCTAGTCCTCCGGTTCTACCGAGTGAAGCCGATGCTGAAGTGTTGCATTCCCTCTACTGAACAGCAGTCACTGTAATTGAAGAAAATATACTTTTTTTTTTATCTTGGTACAATAGTTATGTTATTCAAATACAGTAGATCAAATACAGCCACACAAGTCACGTTAAAAGTGAGCCTAGCTTAGCACAGTAGCAGTAAAACTGTATTAAATCGTAGATTCATTTCCATATTGCTTTTTCAGAATAATTTCTAATAGCTGATCCACAAAGCAGTACCATTTAAACTTCCTATTTGTTTGCAAACTAGCGTGAAACCCTTTTTCTTAACTTAACAATTTGTGTTGTTACTGTTTGTCGGGAAGAATCCATGTCAGCGCTCAGTTACAATGGAGGCATGTGGTCTACCGTTTACATCACCATGTAGATTCCACATCTTCTCTCACTCCACCAGCGCCGTCATTGATTTTCTATCAGTCAGTTAATCTACCATTCTTTCTACAACAAGGTCTCGATGTGAAAGGGGCGACCGGCATGTGCATCAGGAGCTTTATCTCTCTGCAGCACTTCACACTCGATGCATGTTCCTCATTTTGTTTCCATCAACTAATGAAAATCCGGCCGAGGTTGCTCTCATGCGTTTCCACCGCACATAAAATAACATAAAGAAAGAAAAAACACTTCAGTTCACTCGCTGTTCTCCCCCGTTATTATGTTTGTACAGTAAATCCATCAAACATCCGTCTGCAGCAACAACTAACCTTGATAATACATTACGAGCTCCGGATGCACTCGACACTTGTGTCTGCACGAGGAAACAAGGAACTCTTTTACATGAAGAGCAATTCTACATGTATTGATTTCTCCTTCTTGTTTTGTATTTTCCGTGCTCACTGATATATCAGGGGTGTTATTTCCAGACATTTTTCACTGCTAAAGATCGAGGAATACAGTGTAGAAGAGCTAGAATCATAGAACTAAAAAGGTGTTTTACGCTTCACTAAAATGAATGATGTCATTGTCTCCTTTTGTTTGAAGGGCCATTTGTAGTTTCACAGCTCTTATCACTTGTATCTGCTGTTAAGAATGCTTAAGTTCATCTTTGTAGGGTTTTCTCAAGTTTCATGCAGGGTTTATACCTGTTTGGTGCACTCACGAGCATTTTGAAAGCGAAAATTAACTCTTTCTAGCGAGTGCTTCCTTGTCGTCAGTAAGCACGTTCTTCACTGCTTTGAATAGATTGGATGCTAATGACACACTTGACAAACACTTGCTATTTGTATCAGTGATGTGTTGCTCAATTCTATTGGGTAATATTCTTTGTTAAGGTAACAAGCTGTACTCCATGTTTCCTGTGCTGGTCCCATTGGGACAAAATCAGAGAACAAGGCAGCTGTGTAAACGGCTCCGTTACTCCGAAATATCATCAAAGTAGCAGCATACGTATTTGATTAGATTGCAGGCTTCTACTTGTTTACTGACCATTCCCAGACAAACAACACCCACACTGACTACACTTTCTAGATTACATAAAGGACGGAAACGAAAGTTAACATGGAGCTAGATTCTGATGGGGTCAATAAGCCTACCTGGTAAAAAAAACGTACAAGTAATTCTACTTTATTGTACTCTAATTCTACAGGAATTGAGTAGCCCTTTCATTAGAAGTGTCACTTCTGGTTGCAAAAAACCAAGATGGCAACGGCATAAACGCTGAATTCAAGGCTTGAAAACTGTAGTCCACAAAGCAATGTGGGAATTCACGGTGACTACGTCCACTTCCTATACAGTTAAATATCATCTAACACGACTCAGCAGTCAGCAATGTATACTCTGATTATGGGAAAGGTCGTGTCAGTCGACCTGTCAATCGACAAAAAAAACAATCCGCACAAATTTTGATAATTGAAGAATAGACCAGATTAAGCACTAGTTACAAAGACCCGAGATATCCGTGCCATGTAATGAGCCTGTTGTTTGTTAGGTAACTTCAAACATACCACACATGTCATAGGTCAGAGCACACAGTGCTTCATAACCAGGGTTTTCTGCCAGCACACACTGCAGCCATTTCCAACCACTCATCACACTTGGCCGTCACTGCGGTGATCACAGAGAAACAAACCCACTGCTGCGGGATGGAACTTCATTCCAAAATGGCTGCAACGAGCACTCTGCAGCGCATTCACACGGAACCTCTGCGCACTTCTCCTCATCAAAAAAACATTGAGGGCAGAATTGAACCGCCACTTTCCAACCGCCCGGTTGTCTTTGGTTTCTGTCCTGGATGAAAGA